CAAGGTTCTCACAATCAAATAAAGCAAACTGGCACTGTAAAAATTCAAAAAAAAAAATTACGAGAAGAAGCAGCGCTCAGGAAGCTCAAAAATAAACTGTTTTCTCACATCATTCGGCACGTATTACCAAGTAGGTATTTCAAAGTACCTATTTCTAGGTATTCCTTGAACTATTCCCAAGTATTTCTAGGTATTTCTTAGCATTTCTAGGTATTTCCAAAGTATTTCTAGCTATTTCCAAGTATTTCCAGGAATTTATACACTGATTTCCTTGGGTGAAAAGCCCCTCGTACAGTACCTATACCAAAGCCATTAACAGATAACAGATTAGTTTGGGAGTTTGATTGAATATTTTTCCTGTGAATTCGTGAATCGGTGTTGCTGATATACAAGGTGACATTTTGAAAACTTACAATGGCTATATCTCAGGAACCAAAAAAAATTTAAAAAATCGCTGAAAGCAATTTCTATAGTAGGGAGGGGGAAACAAAATTATGTAATAACTAACTTGTTTTCACTCACCCCCTCACCCCCAGCCAGCCCAACTCAGTAATCTTAAATGACACCCCCCTACTTGTGATACATTATCTGAAAGCTCTAAAAAATGCTTTTCAATGGTCGCGTTCCTAAGCACTCAACATGTTGAGTGATTAGTCAGCGGCTATGTTGAAAACAAATGAACGTCAGCTCTAGGCCAATCAAAACTTTTCTACCTTGTGCCTTTCACTAGCTGGAACAAAGCCGCTTACTAATCACTCAACATGTTGAGTGCTTAGGAACGCGACCAATGGTACCCTACAAACTAGGATTCGATGTGATTGTTTTTGGTTTATTGGGTAAATAAAACTTCATTAATTTGAATTAAAATTGTATTTTTTTAGACTTGCCAATTTTTTCAGGTTCCCAAAACAACGAATAAACAAAAAATAATACAAGCCCAAAATTTTTAGGCCTCAAGATTAATGCTACGATATTAAAAAAATGTTTTTTTTATTGATAACCTATTTTACTTATTTAAAGTACTCCTCAGCGTGTTTAAATCCAAAATTCAAAAACGCGCGTGTTTTAATAGAGAACCATGACAACATCAACAACCCGAGAAAGGTAAAGTCTAAATGTCAACTTTTTAATTATTGATTTGTCAGACAACGAAAGGTATACCAGATGTCATTTCACGAATTTAGCATTCTGCAACTATTAGTAGTTTATGATTTGAACGTATAGGTACCAATAAAAAAAAAATAGTGTAAAGTATTCGTGGATAACTGGTCTTTAAAACACTTGCTCTATTTCGAGCACTCCGGCTGCGCCGTCGTGCTCGGAAAATCGCGTGTGTTTTAAAAACCTTAATATCCACTTATACTTTAATATACTATTTTAAATTTTTCACATTTCAATAATTTTATTTCGAAAATAATTACATCGAATCCTAACTTGTAGGGTACCATTGAAAAGCATTTTTTAAGAGCTTTCAGATAAGGTATCACAAGTAGGGGGATGTCATTTAAGAATATTAAGTTGGGGTGGCTGGGGGTGAGTGAAAATAAGTTAGTTATTACATAATTTTGTTTCCCTCTCCCTACTCTAGAAATTGTTTTCAGCGATTTTTTATATTTTTTTTGGTTCCTGAGATATAGCCATTGTAAGTTTTTAAAATGTCACCCTGTATACTATACAGTGGCTGATAAGCTGGGTTAGCTAGGTAAGTGATTTAAGCCCGGTTTAGTCAGCTAATCGCCTATAATTGCACTGTTCTACTTTTTTAAAGATTCCAATAAGTCGCAATAACAGGCCCTAGGCCACTGGCCTCATCTACATGGGGGCAGGTGCTCCCATGAGCAACCTCTCATGGGTGCTCGGAGCTCTCGTAGGGAATGCGAAAGTACAAACGTATTTAATAATTATTCCGTTCCGTGTGGTAGTATCAGTATCATGTATGTAACTTAAATTTACACAACTTTGTATAAGAAATATACAAGTGGTATTAGTCTTAAATTAGGGAGGTATTAGTATTTTGTCCTTTCGTTATTTGTGGTCAATTCTATGCTCTATTACTTTATATTGCTAATGTTGCTATTCTCCATCTCTATTCTTTGATAATAATCGGGACATAACATAAGGCATTTTAGGACATAAAAGTATCAAGCATAATTATTTTGATAATGATGTGATATTTTCATGGCCTAAAATGCGTGTAGAAAAAAGCACTTTTCGCACGCTCGTAGAAAAAAATAGAAAAATATATACACTATAAAATAGACGTTTTTAGGCGTGGCATATCTGGTCTTTAAAACACTTGCTCTATTTCGAGCACTCGGCTGCGCCGTCGTGCTCGAAAAATCGCGCGTGTTTTAAAGACCTTAATATCCACTTATACTTTAATATACTATTAATATATATTTTAGTGTTCATACTGCGTTGAAACAAAAACAAACCTTGTCTTATATTTCAGTACTTAGGGTAGGGGTTCCCTAGAAAAAAAAAAGTGCGCTCTAAAGGTTCCTCACTCTACAAAAGATTGAGAAACACTGACATAACCTATAGTGCCATTTAAGATTTTGAGGTTAGGGTGGCTACCGCCGGAGTGGTGGTTCGGAGAGACTTGAAAAGTACCTTGCTTTGGTTCCCTCTTCCAACCCTTCAAACGGTTTTTTTTTTTATCGATTAGCGTTTTCAAGATATAGGCCATTGACAGCTTTCGGTGGGGCGCCCGGTATACTACAGTTGTATTATCGTACTAGTGATGTAATGAGCTTCATATATCACTAGTAATTTAATAGGCTTATTACGTAACTCATTTTTTATTTATGCTTTCAGCCTTGAGCCTTAAGCTCACTAAATAATCTGTTGTGAAAAATCAAAACCATCGAATAAATAGAACAAAAATCTGGGTCATAGATAAAATGTTGTATATCACAGTACGGTAACGCTCATTATAGCACTCGTGTGGTTACCACGACTTGGTCTACAACCTCGTCGTGACAATATTTACTGTATTCCTTTTACCCGTTGAGTTACTCGGAGCTGCTCAATGTCAAAAACATGAACGTTCCTTTTAAAAGTGCTTTAGGCACTCGAATAGCTCATAGTGCATTCCCCTTTTCCCTATGCACCAAATTTGCGAGAGGTGCAAGAAGCCCTTTTAGGACTTTTAGGTAATGTTAATATTAAAAAATAATGATAATATCTGAATTGTGTGTTTTGGAGTGACTCCGTGGAGCTCTAGAGCGACCTGTTCGGTGCAACTCGATGTATAAAACGAAAAGGTACAGCAATTTCCGTTCGATACGCAATTTTTTTCTCATAAATGTTTTTAAAAAGATTACGGCAAGATTCCGAAAATTTAATATTTTTTTTTGCAATCTGGGGGCGTCTGGCAAGGCTTTAAACCCGTGAAAAACGTCTGGCATTATTACAGCCTTGTTAAGGGAACATTTTTGAATGATATGCCGCAAAAATTGACCATCGGCAAATAGTTCGATTTTCGTGAATTTTTTAATGACCTAATTATTATGCCTATGCCAAACTTCCCCACTACATGCTGCCAGACTATGGTTTTTGATCTCGGGGGATAATATTACATCGTTTAAGCATGAAATTTTCCATCGGCAACTTTTTACGGAAAAAAATTCATTCAAAAAAAATTTAAACCTAAAAATTGAGATTTTCAATAGTAATATAACTATATAGTGCAATGGAAATAATTGATAATTTTTGGGAAATTTGCCCGAATGCTTTTTTCAGTTAAAATCGCATGAGTGCAAATTTGTCGAAAATTATAAATACAGGGTGTTTCACGGTGGATGGCGTATTAGACGTTTATAGAGAACTAAAAAGCGAATCATTTTGAAAATTTGGCAACCGGGATAAACGACCATAATCTACACTTTAAAAATATTTTTGTTTATGCGGTGTTGCCGCTTCTACTCTAAACCAGTGGCAACATCGCTATTTTAAATTAAACACCCTGTATGTGATTGCATATTTGGATTCTACGTAAAATTTTGAGCAGATTTTATACTATACCTAAGTTCAACTGTTTTGGAAATATTGACAGTTGAAAATTGACTTTTTGCAACTGTGACAGGCTGTAAAACCTAAACGGTTAATTTCAGAGGAAAACCGATCTTACATTCCTATCTTAGATTTTCGTAAACTATCAAAATTGGCGTCAAATGATAGTTTATAAAAATCTAAGATAGGAATGTAAAATCGGTTTTTCTCTAAAATTAACCCTTCAGGTTTTACAGCCTGACAAAGATGCAAAAAGTCAATTTTCAACTGTCAATATTTCCAAAACAGTTGAACTTGGGTATAGGGTATATCACATGAAATCTGCTCAGAATTTTATGTAGAAGCCAAATATGCAATTAAATACGGGGTGTTTCATTAAAAATAGCGATGTTGCCACTGGTTTAGAGTAGAAGCGGCAACACCGCATGTACAAAAATATTTTTAAAGTGTAGATCACGGTCATTTATTCTGGTTGCCAAATTTTCAAAATGATCCGCTTTTTAGTTCTCCATAAACGTCTAATACGCCATCCACCGTGGGACACCCTGTATATTTCCATTGCACGAGTTGTATTTAATGAGAGAATTTCATAAATCAAAAATTTCAATTTTTTGTCAAAACACCAGTTTTCGCACCAGTTAGTATGCAATTATCTGATAATTTGCACTAGTGCAAATTATCGCTTAATTACAATCTGATTGGTTCAAATCAACAATCAAAACATGTCAATTTATTGTTGGAATACCAGTTTTGACATATGTATGAAATTCTCTTTTTAATTTTTCTCTGTATTGAAATCAAGATTTTGTAATGATGTTAGAGTTTTTTTCGACTAATTTGAACTCGCTCTATCGATTGGAAAAGTCAAAATTACCGAATTTTTTTTTCAAAATGTTCAAACTCAATTTTCTCGAAACCCGTCAAAGATTTTGGATCAATTTTTTTTTGAGATTGTAGCCCTTGATGAGGGCTTTAAAATGGTACTTGGTTGAAGTCGTTGGCATTTACGGTTTTTGAAAAAATTTAGTTTTAAGTTTTTGATACTTTTTCGACTAAAATTCAACTTTGAGGTGTAATTGCTTGGAAAGTATTTGAGCTATGGAGCTCAATCTTACATTGATTTATAGAAAATTTAATGTTCTTTCCAACAATGTGCTTTTTTTTTGGATTTGAATTGGAAAACACTCGAACACGAAATAAATTCTTAAGATCTTATTAAATTTAGGTCAATGCTTGATTGTTAAAATTGGAGATTCCGGGAGGGATCCCCCATCCGGTTCCCGTCCTCGTCGCACACAATCTGGACGTCCGCAAAGTTTGTGCGTCGCGACGCCGCCCGTCATGCGCCCGTGCCGACGCCCGCGGCGCACGCGTACCGCCCACGTCGCCGTCATCGAGCGACAGCCCCGCAACCGCTCTCTACGAAAAGCGACAGTGCATCCAAAGTTCCGTCGGTTTTTCGTAATTTTATTTTTATAAGTAAAAATCGGGGCGAATGTTTTTGTACATCGTGCGAGCGTGAGTGCGGCGAAAAAACGAGTCCGCGGGGGTGCAGGTCGCCGAGTGTTTTCTGAACTTGAGGGGTGAAACTCCGAAAAGTCGCCACAATTGACCTGTAAGTATAGAGGATTTCCAGCAAGCAGCACCTTTTTGGGCCTGGATAAGGGCGGGTTTCCAGAGTTTGGTTTTTTTAAGTATTGTTGGCAATTTTTCATTGTGGAAACAAACTTTTTATTGATTTTCCTTTATAAGACAATTTAAAATTAATATGTTGTTTATTGTTTAAATAATTTGTTTTAAGTTGTTAACATTTTAACAGCTCAATTAGTAATGAATATTAGTGTAGTGTAATAATCTAACAAAACCAATTTAAAATTGTTTAAACATTCATAAATTTGGTTTGCTTATCGGCGAATCATTTCGCTACACACTGCAATAAAACGTTTTTCCTTGAAATTGGGTGACAGAATATAAATAATGATTCATTTTTGTTGTTTCATAAATTCTATTGCAATTACTAAGAGAATTGATAAATTGGATTGAAATTTTACAAATTGAAACAGAAATGATTCATATTTAGGGAAAAAAAATTCTTATGGCTTGTATGTCAATAAAACATAAAACTCCATAGTTAAGGAATGTTAATTTGCAAAAATAAATAAACATTTAGGAGGATAATTTTAGTTGTCTCTAATTTGAACTTAATTACTTTAAAATTGGATTGAAATTAACAGAGTTATAAGACATAATGTGCTTCATTGAAGGACGCCTAATTTTTTTAAGTGTGAAGACTTATCGAAGCTTCGCAGCTGCAAAACTATTCATTACTATAGAGAATTTAATTGCCTTGAATCGAAGCCTAATTACGTTGAAATTGGATTGAAATTAACAAAGTTATGAGGCGAAATGTGTGTCGATATCATTTTGGAAAAATCAAGTTTTCAAAAAAACGTTTTATTTTTTTTGAAGAAAATGTTGGAGAGATTGGATTGAAATTTTGCAAGTGGATAGAAAAAGGATTAAAATCTAGAAAAAAATTACATTCAAGAGCCTGGAATATACAAAAAATTCTTAAGTTGACACCTGAGATGCTGATTTATTTTTTGTTTTTCACTTTTCAGGTGTTGCAAGAAAATGGGGTGCACTTCGTCGGCCGAGGAGCGGGCTGCGCTGGCGAGGAGCAAAGCGATCGAGAAGAACCTCAAAGAAGATGGAGCCCAAGCTGCCAAAGACATCAAACTTTTACTACTGGGTACGTACCTTTAGATTTTAAAAAGAAAAATTCAATAAATATTTCTTCCATATAGAATATAACTGACTTCAAACTTGCACTGAAAATAAAAAATTTGAAATTACAGTTCAATTTTCCATTATAAGCAATTTCTTTATCAATCCTAATGGGTTAACTTCTAATCCCAGTCAAGTACTTAGTCATGAATTTGCTGTATTGCGTAATTTTGGCGTATTTATCTCAACCTGCTTGTTCAGATTTTGCGTGTAAGCACAAAGAAGCTTTTACTCATTACAGACAGCATCAAAAAGCACATTTCAGTTAGGTATAAAAAGAGTTTTTATTTTAAAAGCTCCATACCTACTATGATGATTGATGAAACTTAACACAGTGTGTCCTACAAACATAAATGTTGACAGTGCTTTAATTGGTAAAACGATCTGCTGTATAACAACAGTCAGCTCAAGTTACTTAATGATTCTCTTAATTGAAAAAAAAATTAAAACATCCAGACCAGAAAAGAAATTATTAATTAAATTCAGTTTGTATCTATTTATGTTTTGTTTTCCGAGAACGCGGTCCAGGGTCAGGGCAAATGATGCACTTTTTATGCAAAAGCGAATGTCATTGCTGATAGGGTCAATCAACTAAGTCGTTGGCGCTGATGATCTTAAAACAAAACATCAACTTTATTCCAGTGAAAATCAACAAATTGGAAAATGATTTTTGGAACAATCACACAGCAAGTTGATGAATTAGTGAAGAGGCTGTTTCTTAAAAAATTATAAAAAGTTAAGAAACAATTCTGATTATGGAATTAAAAAGCTTGATGAGTCATACCATACTACAGGAAGTCATAGAAATAAGAGTCATGCATGTAATATTGAAATAAGTCATACAATTAAAGGCTTTTAATGGTTGATCTGGTCAAGGAAAAATACATTTACTTAGATTAAAATGCAAGCTATTATAATCAACATAAACTGTTTGTTGATGGATACCTCCAAGGAGGTTATGGCTGGTAAGAACTGGATCAGAAATTCTATAAGAAAAAAGCTAGGTACTTGAAACTTTTGGGTTTCTTCAATTGGGGTATTCTTTTCATTTCAATTTCAATTCAATAATTATTGAATTAGCAAATTGAATGTGAATCTGAAACTCCATTTTGTACACAAAATTTGACTGACGGCAATGTAAATTGGAAGCCTTCGAAATCATATCAAATTTCGTATGTGAGAAGTTTCGAAAATACGACTCCTAGCAGAAGGTATGGGGCCTTAGCCAAAAGTAACTTTTTACTGTTTTTGTCCAAATTGAAAAAAAAAGCCTTTCAAAATGCTGCTGGAAAATGTTTTGGAACGTTCTAAATGGCTTTTTGCAGTTCTAAAGTGTTCTAACTTGGCTTGAAGAGTTCTGGAGCATTCTAAAAGTTTTTCAGTAATTTCTAAATTGTTCTGACAGATTTTTAAATATTTTAGAGCCCTATTGAAGCTCCAAAAAGTTCTAAATTGGTTCAAAAAAGTTCTAAAAGGTTTCCAGTTTTAAATTAGGATTCAATTTAGAACTTTGAAATTGTTCTAAAATAACTCTGAAGTTTCTCAATTGCTCCAAAATGCTCCTGAAAATTCTGATTTAGATTTGAACTAAATAAAGCTGCGGACTTTGGTTCGAGTAGGTCGTGTTTGTGTTGCTCCCTAAGTTTTGTCAAAGATCGTGCTGAATTGTATTAACTAGTTACTTAAAAACATAGTCAAGGCTAATACTAAAAATTATACGTTAACTGTGACATATAAAAAGTGATAAGTTAGGTGGAAAAGAACAGTTAGTTTTTGTCCAGCTTGTGTACCAATACCAGTGTTGCCAATAATGCCGCCGAGCAAATCTAGAGAAATTGATAAATGCAATATTTGCAGCAAAAAGGTTGGAGATGACCAGGAAGGCTTGTTGTGCGGGCGTTGCAACGTTTGGAAGCATAGGGATTGTATCTCTATGTCCCAAAGGACGTACGTACAGGTGAGCAAGTCAAAAGAAGACTGGATCTGCCCTCAATGTATGGAGAAAAAGCAATCAAAGGTGGATGTTTCCTTGGCTGATATAATGGCAAAATTGATGGATATGGAGGAGAAATACGACAAGGTATTCATAAAGCTTCAGGAGCAGGAAAAAATTAATAAGAAATTACAAAATGAACTTAATGAAATCAAACAAGTTCTGAATAAACGGGAACAAAAAGAATTAGAAAAAAATATTATTGTACAGGGGGTACCAGCGCAGAGAAATGAAAACCTTAAAGATATTGTCCAGAAAATTGGTGAATACTTAGATGCTGAAATTAATGGTAATTATACTGCTTTTCGACTGGGTAAAGGAAATGGCAAATGCCCTCCAAAAAAAATCCTATTTGAAGAGCATGGAGATAAAGAAAGGATCATAAAGTCCAAGAAAAAATTTAATTTTGAAAGTAAAAATCTGGGTTTTTCCCAAAACAATAAAATCTTCATTAACCATGATTTAACCAAAACAAATCTAAAGCTTATGTCAGCGGCACGCATCTTCAAAAGAGACAACAACTATAAATTTCTGTGGCTAAATGGTGGTAACGTTCTACTCCGGAAAGACGAAAAGTCAAAGGTAATGGTTTTAGAAGACGAGGATCAGTTGGGAAATTCACAAGAATAGCTGTCACTCAATCAGAACAAATTAAATGTGATATATATGAACATACAAAGTATTAGAAATAAAATAGATCTTATTAAATGTTTTCTGCTTGCGAGAAAATGTGATGTATTAGCCCTAACAGAGACTTGGTTGAATGAAAATGAAGCTTTTCTATATAGCATTGAAGGGTATAATGCACTCCACTATTGCAGAGAAGGTAGAGGAGGTGGTGTTTCATTTTACTTCAGGGACACCCTAACTTTCAAAAAATTGGAAAGTTCATCGAATGGTCAGGTAATGGATTGGCTGTGTGTTAGCGTTAATAATAATAGTTTTAAATTGAGTCTCCTTTATAAACCACCATCTTATAGCAATAAAAATTTCTTGTCTGACCTCGAGGTGATACTTTTGAAGTATCCTAAAAATCACATATTGCTTGGAGACTTAAATATAAATCTATTAGAAAATACTAATCTGGTTAAAGAGTACAAAAATATGCTAGCACTATCAAATTTTAAAATAAATAATAAAATCTCACTGGAAAATGCTACAAGAGTAACCAAAAATAGTCAAACCCTTATTGATCATGTATTATCTAGTTATCATTCAAATTTAGTGCAAAATGTGGATGTTGAATATAATTCGTTCTCAGATCATAATAGATTAACTTTTAAAATTTGTAATAGAGTAAAAGTATATAAACCCAAGGTAACAAAAACAATTAGCTTCGTTGATCACAAAAAATTTATTTCTCTGTTTAAACTTAATGAAACTGCTTTCCGCATTTCTTCATTCAATGATCTGATTTAATAAAACAATCAAAAAACGATTCGACATACACCAAAGTTATCAAAATAAGAGAAAATAATGATTGGATTACTCAGGAAATTTTGGAACTCATGCAACAACGCGACAAAGCATATAAAAGAAAAGCTACCTATCCAAATAATGTTCGATATATTCACGAGTTTAAAGGTTTGAAAAATCAAATAAACAATAAAATAAAAATAGCCAAGAATAATTTTTTTAGTTCTGAATGGAACAAAACAGGTAGTGATACAAAAAAGCAATGGCACAGTTTTTTTAATAAACCATCTGCAAATAATTGCATTGAGTACCTACTTGTAGATGGGCAAGTGATAAAACAAAACAAAAAAATTGTAGACACTTTAAATTATCATTTTGCCAATGTAGGAGAAAATATAGTTAGTTCATTGAATGAGGAAATTGATGCAGACAATGGACGTGTTGTACTTAGGGATGTTGTAATTGATAATGTCGCTATTATGGAAGTAAGATTGACAAATGTTAATGAAGTAAATGAAACCATACTCGAACTTAAAAAAAATTCTGCTCCAGGATATGATGGCATAACAACAATGGATTTAAATAATTTAAAAAACGATATCTTGATTATTCTGACTGAGTTAATAAATAATGTATTTTTGACGGGTATTTTTCCATCTGAGTTAAAGATTAGTAGAATCACTCCGATCTTTAAATCTGGGGCAGCCGATCAGATGAACAATTATAGACCAATATCAGTGCTTAGTATATTCTCAAAAATTATTGAGAAGATGGTTAAAAAAAGAATGGTTGAGTTTATGTGTGAAAATTTGTTGGTAGACCCATTCGAGTATGGTTTCATAAAGAAAAGTAACACACTTTCAGCTGCGTTCGATTTTGTTAACTATGTCTCAAAGAATTTGGATCAAAAAAGTATAGTCGTAGCAGTGTTTATAGATCTCAAAAAAGCATTTGATGTAGTATCAATTGATGTGCTTTTGGGTAAATTAAACAAATTGGGTATTCAGGGAAATTTTTTAAACCTTATAAAAACATATTTAGTGGATAGGAAACAGTTTGTAAAAATCAAGGATTGCGACAGCGATATTCTATCAAATAATTATGGTGTACCCCAGGGGTCAGTGCTGGGGCCACTGCTATATACTTTATATGTCCTAAATCTGAAACTCATGAATCTGCAAGCAAGATATTTTACTTTTGCAGATGACACTGCTCTAATTTATACAGGCTCGAATGAAGAGCATCTGGAGGAGGAAATAAACAGAGATCTCGATAGGTACCTTATGTGGTTGTATGCCAACAAGTTGAAAATAAATGTTGAAAAAACAAAATTTATAATTTTTACACAAAAAAATAAAATATCGAACAATATAAATATTAAAATTAGCACCATGCAATTAGAAAGAGTGACATCTATTAAATACCTAGGGATGTTTGTGGATGAATCTCTGAATTGGAAAAATCATGTCGATCATTTAATGATGAAATTGAATTCAATGATACCTGTTATTTATAAATGTCGACATTATCTCACTCACAAAACCAAACTAAATGTT